GCTGCCGTCCTCCTCCAACCCCCCGTTACTTTTCAGTTTTTTGACAGAGATTTTTTTCATCCCCTTTTTTTTCGAGCATCATGGGGAAGCTGCCGCCCCCCCCCCCCCAACCCCCTTTGTTTTTTTTGTTTGTTTCTTTGTTTCTTTCTTTCTGTTTGTTTGTGAGGGCGTGTGTGGTGTGCGGCTGTTGTTGATTTCGGAAGTTTCCCTGAACGCAAACGAGAATTCTGGGACCCTCAAGGCTTTGGAGGGGTCAGCCGGATGTCCGCTCAAACTGGGCCGCTGCAGGTGAGGCGTTTTTGCATTTTCTCAGATGGGACCCAGCTTCGCCATGGGCTTGTGCCACGTTGCCAATATGACGACAAATGCTGGGCATCTCGCAGCCAAGTGTTTTGAAACCAACTCATGGATTTGTTTGGCTTCGGGGCTGATTTTGGAGATCGTCTTTTGTTTGCCGCTTCAATCAACGGCGCGATGTTGTCCAACGGGAAGCGTTCCTTAGGTCCGCGAACTGGAGCAGGCCCTCGCGCCGGCAAGTGAGGCGCTTGCGGTTCGGTCGGTTTCGGGGGAGGGGGGGAGAGTTATGCAGCGCCGACATTTCGGCAACCCGTGCAAAAGGCACGCAAGAGACAGCGCCAACCACAAACAGGTGAGACCCGCCTTCGGATTCCTTATGTGGATTCACCTCCACACCAGGTGTTGACGTGTGACTCGCAAGTAGACTGTGACCCACGTCGAGGGGTTGGATTCAACCCCTCTGGAAAACCGAGATGTACCGCAAGACTCTTTGACCACAAGCTCATCATGGGGGCTGGGGGGGAGGGAGGGGAACCCAAAAACACCCTTTACTTAGCTCTTATGAGGCCTTATTTAGGGCTTATTTGGGCTCCCCTCCCCGCCCCCACAAGCTCATGGTTTCCAACGAAGGGTCCCCCAAAATTGCCCAGGATGATGCCTGCCCGCTGCTGAGGGCCGGAGGGACCGTCAACTGGGGCACCGGGGATGGTCAGTTGACATTTTGCTATATATATATATATATATGTATTCCGGTTTTGTTGAACAGTTTTTGCGAGGATGCTGGTCCTCCTCACTCTTGGGCATTGGAACGATACTACCTCAGCGGGTGGTCTGATATTGCCGACCCAAGTTTCAAGACCTGCAAGCATTGCAGCGACCGTTGGCTTGCGCCTCAACTAGCGGCTGGGGAAAAGGGGCTTGCTTGTTTTACTTCCCAATGACAAGTCACGTTTGCGTGGGTCTGTTTGTCTGCCTGCCTGCCTGCCTCCCTCCCTGCCTGCCTGCCTGCCTGCCCGTCCGTCCGTCTGTCTGTCTGTCTGTCGGTGTGTCGAATGACCGGATTTAAGGATGTGGTCTGAGGTTAGACTGCTCAGTGCGCGCACTGCTGACAGTGAGGTAGGTCCGAGTCAGAGAGTGGGGCCACGCTGTGAAATTTGAGCACAGTGTTGCAAACGTTCTTTTCCAGGCTGTGCCAGACAGTCAGGCCGTGCTTAGGATTTAGGCTGTGCTTGGAAGTTACTTGCTGACAGTGCGGTAGGTCCGAGTCAGAGAGTGGGGCCGTGCTTAGGATGTGCTTGAGAGTTAGGCTGGGCTCAGAATTGAAGACTGCCCTCACTGCTGGCATGCTTGCTGACAGTGCGACAGGTGCGAATCAATGATTGGTGCGCTTTCAGACGCATGAAGGGTGGCCTCTTGAGCTTGAATGCAGCTTCACGTGTTTGATCTTCAAACTCTCCTAAGGCCTTTGGGTTCTTGGCATGTTTGCCATTGCAAGTTCGGAATGGTTGTGCCTCCGAACCGCCCCTCGTCTGATCACGGGCCCCAAGACCGCGAGGGCAGAAATGCTTCGCAGGGGCCTGATCAACTTGTCCCAGCCCTTTGCTGCTGGCAAAATGCCGTCCTTTTCACCTCAATCCCCGAGTTTAATTTTGAATGTAGATGTTCGATTGTGGTGGTGAGTGCCGGCGCGCGCTGGCACGTGTTGAAGAGTGAAGAAATCCAGACACGTTCCGAGAATCTTTAATCTTCAATCTTCAGTCCAGGATGTGCTAGCGCGTGCAAACACATCTTAGCGCTGCAATCCCTGCAAGTTCTGGCCTTATTTAGCAGGAGCACATGATATTTCACGTCTTGCGCAAAACCATTGTCGCAGGCTACACAAAGACTTTCCAAACAATCTGAGTAGTGGGGGAGCAAAAGGGGGGGGCACGTATGTTTTTCTGTTCAATTTTCACAACCGGGTCTTGAAAGAGCTTTGCTTGTAGACAGCTTTTTTCTGCATGTCTCTTTAATCAGCGCAGCTTTTGCATCTGGAACGGTTTTCTCCTTGCCTCGCGCGCTCGTGACGAGCCCGTCTCCAATTCGAGCGCGGGGGTCGCGAGCCGAGGCCTGGAGCTGTCGGAGCGCCTCGCGCCGCTGGAGGACGCCTTTCGGCAGCTGGCGGAGCGCCTGGCCGCGCTGAGCCGGGACGCCGATGCGGCCGATCCGGGCGGGGTAGGTGGTAGGTGGCGGGGTAGGTGGCGTCTCACTGATTTTGGGGAGTGCCAGGAAGCATCAATATATCACCAGACTCAAGCAATCGAATAACAAAAACACATCCCAAAATGCAAAAAGAGAGGGTTTGGGGGTGGTTCGGTGGTTCGCCATCCCGAAATCGTCTTTGTAAATGACACTGCATTTCCGACACATGTGCCCGACACATCCTGGACGGGCCCGTTGATTGGACTCGACGGATCAGCGTTTTTTGGATCACCAATTTGGTTGGTAGCCATGGTCAAGGTAACCATGGTTCACACGGTATATGTATATTCAGGTTTTGCATGGGACGCCTAGATTTTGGCTCACAAGACACACTAGGTCGATCTCAGGTACGACCCCGCAAGCCTCCCGTATGCCGGCCCCAAGATCCGGAAGCTGCTGTACGCTGCAGTGAACCAGCTTGCAGCAGAGATGTTAATTGTCCGCCTACTAATCGACAGATCAGTGGTGGAACAAACTGTTGCGCAGGACTTGGAGCAACAGACTCAAGAGGTCGCGCGCAGCCGAGAACATGACGAATTATTCCATTCAACCACTCAGGCAAACAGGCTTACAGTTGCTCCCAATTTAATAGTTCTATATAGGTGAAAATCCACTCAGCAGCGCTGAGGCCCTGAGAAGCTGCTGCCGCCCTCTTGCGAGGCGCCGCCGCAGATTTTTTGGGCGACGCGGAAGATTCGGGAGAGATGTTGTACGGAGCGGATCCGTGATGTGCCTGGAATGTGTTTCTGCCAAGTTCCTCGATGAGGGCAAAAGGTACTTTCGACAGCCGACTCTGAGAAATGGGATAGCAACGTAAATATTTTTGGTGGATGAATACGCTTAGCGCTCCCGCAAAGTCTGCCTCTGCTGCAGGCCATGTCCCAGAGACCAGACGTGGATTCAAGCGTCATGCCAGGAGTGCAGATTGCAAATCCGGGGCCGGGGCTGGGTGCAAAGCCCGGGGTAGTTAGGCCTGCAAACACCAGCAACTCAACTGCCTCTATCCAACACAGTGAGGAGTAGCTGTTAACATGTTTATTCGCGGCTGGGCCTGGTCGGGCCACGCGCAACTTAGTGCGATTGATCGACCGATGTTCGTGCTTGAGAAGAAAGGCAGGGGTGTTTTTTTGGGAACTCCCTGATCAGACAACCCGTAATTGGTGGTTTGGATTGGTGGTTTGGGATTTGAACCCGGGGTTCTTGTGGAGACCAAACCACCAACCCAAACCACCAACTAGGGCGAAACTGACCGGGCCCTGTTGACGTTGATCGGCTATTAGAGGGAGCACCAAAATGAAGCGACAAACGCACATTCGCACCCTTGCCTAGGCAAACGGCCTGCAAGAGCTGCTTGCGAAGGCTTGGGAGAGGGTGCCTTGGACGTTTGGGATTCAAGCGACACCATGTTTTTGCTAGGGCTGGTCTCGTTCTGTTTGGTTGGGTCGGGTTGGTTGGTTCGGGCTGAGATGTCGATGAGGGCGGGTCTTGGGTTGGTTTGGCGTTTTTTGGGCCCGGCAAAGGGCTGATATTCAGGCTGGGTTTTGGGTTTTGGGTAGGTTTGGGTTGGCGTGGAGCTGATTTGTGCTAGGCGTGCGGCTGTTTTAGCAGTGGATTGGTTTGGGCCACGGCAACCCAAACCTACCCAAAACCAACCCAACACCCACCCAACAGCAGCCTGGATCTCAGCCCTTTGCCGAGCCCAAACGAATTTCAACCCAACCAAAGACCCCTCATGAAGATCTCAGGCAGCCTAAAACTCACCCTAAACCAACCAACCTGAGCAAACTCTCAACTGCCACCAAATCTGATCCAATGGGCAATGCTACCAGCCCTCGTAGAGCTACCAGCCCTCTCCTTCACTCCCAGTGCGGATCCTGCCCTGTGCTATCATGTGAGCTGAAATTGGCTAGCTCATCGGCCGGGATGCAAGGTGGAAACTTGCGCATCTGGCGCACCATGCTGCGCGTGTTGCTCTTCCCTCCCTTTCTGACAGCGAAAGCTCACGCCTTGCCCTCTTGACTCGTTTCTGTGAGAGTTGTGCTTGCATGGGACACGTCTCAGCAGCTGCCTTGCTGTCTTTAGTACCCTGCCCCCCACTTTAGATGGAACCTGACGTTCGGGACCCGGCCCCTTGGACAGGAAAATTTGGTCTTCCGCCAGGTTCCATGTCAATTGAGAGAGGGTATGTTGGTCACTGGCTTCTGATCAGAAGCCCCTTTTCCCCTTGCAGATTGACAAGCTGGAGCTCACCGAGTTGGAGGAGATGATCGCTCAGTCTGCTTGAGATGTTAACCCACAAAGGCTGGTTAGTCTAAACAAGTTGGTGGGCGCATGCTTTTGGGTTATCCCTGGGTTCCTGGAAGACCATTTTCCCTTTAACCTGGACCCCCAGGTTCCATGAGTTTTTTGATGTTTGCTTACTGTACGGGTGCTTGCCTCGGCTTACCTCGTAGCAAGAGGCAGGCTCCTTGCCTCTAGGTTGTATGTCAGAAAGCCTAGAGGATTTGGCGGTTGCAAGGCCTCCATGGGGGTCAGCCACAGGTTAATCAGGCGAACGCCCACTCGCTCCGACGCCAAAGCCGCGTGAGGAGGAGAGAGCGGACGCCAAAGCTGCGCCGTCCCAGGCGGGCCAGGGGTTTGGCCGTTGTCTTTGTTCCTAACGCGACGTTTACCTAAAACACACACACACACACACACAAAACACAGCCATGGAGTGTTTTTTTTTCAACCTTTTTTTATTCTTCTTTTCTTTTGGAGGTGGTTTCCCATAAAGATCACTTGTGCCCAGGAAGGCAGCGTGTTGTCCGCTGCGGAGATTTGGAGTTTTGAGGGGCATTCACTTGGACGGCTCCGAACAAGCTATACCGAGCTTATCGATATTGGCGTACCGCGAGGTCACCCATGAAGGGCTCTTAATGGGGGTTCCCTTGCACATGTTGGTAATGAGAATTTGCCCAGATCATTTGTGCTGTGGAGGAAACGGGCTTGAGAACCCCGTGCGGCCTTTTCCTAATCTCTGGTGCAGTACTAGAAGGGCCTGGAGCCAAATGTCACAAATAGTGTAGTGTACCAGGTTGCATGAACAGCAACAAACACACTCTTCTTTTGGCTTTCAGCATCGAATTGTGTGCTGTAGCCATTGATATTGCACATTAAAAGTTCCTGTAGCTTTTGCGTGTCTTTGAAGGACCTTTTGGTGTGATCGGTGATGTATTGAGTGAAACACTGACCCGCTCACCTCATCGAACATATCCATTCCACAATTCAAGAAAGACAAAGCACACGGCAGTAGATCGACAATCAACGGAGAAGTGGTTGACACTGTCCATGTTGCATTTGGGCGGTCATTTGTATGCTTCACATTTGATCGATTCTTTCTTCATTCGGAAGCAATGAATCCTCGGTGAGCATGCTGATCGTATCTATCATGCGCCATGGTTTCTTGAGGCTTGGTAAGACCGGGTCCCAAAGAGGTCAGCCTACGAGCTCTGGGGCTACCCGTCAGAGCCGGTCAGCCGGGACCCGCCCAGAGGTGAAGGAGCTGAAGCTGTTGGCTGGTCAGGTCTCCTCGCATGAAGAGGTGCGAAGCCGGTCGACGGTCGAAGCAACGAGAATGTCCAGAAAACTCTGCGGGACACTCAAGAGGCAGATTCTGTTGCAATTCCTACTGGGCGTTGGTGGGTGGTTTTCTGTTTCCTACAAACCGGGGGTTGGTTGGTGTAATTTTGTTTGTCCGCGGCCGGACTCTTCTCATTCTTTTGGGGTGGCCAGGACCTCGCCAACGTGAAGCTGCAATCCCAGAACCTCACGCAGGCGGTCGAGATCTTGCGGGCGGATGTGGATGAGATGAGGAAGGCCGGGGTCACACGGGGAACGCAGCGTGGGAGTGATTCATCCGAAAGAACGCTCTTCTTTTAAGTGTGGAGGTCGACCGACATGAGCTTGGGGTGATTCATCCGAAAGAAAGCTGGTCTTTTTAGTGTGGAGTTGCGGTGTGTGGTGTTGAAGATTGGTTGGTGGCTCTTTGGGTCGACCGACATGAGAAGAGGGCGTTTGACTTTTTTGGACGTTGAATTTTCCCCACCACTGAGTAGCAGACCGTGGACTTTTTGTCTGGGGTCAAAGACCAACCCAGATTGCGACAAGGCTAAAATGACAGAAGCCAGAATCAAACACCCAGCCGGTAGCTTCCCAAATGCATCCTGAGGTCCGCCATCCGATTGAAGTTTTCGCGACCAAGAATTTCAGCAGGATCTAAAGTAATCGCGTTTTTTAGAAAACAAGCAACACGGAGTTTGCACTGCGTTTCATAAAAGCCGAATCTTCCTACAGCAGAATGCGTTGATGCTGACCGATTGTTCGCAATGCCTCACATTCGGCTTGCTAAAACAAGCAACTGGTGGTTGTCAAATCTTCTAAATGCTTGCGTTCTAGAGGTAGTGTTGACCCCAGGTTCATCCGCCTGGTGGATTTTTCGGTGTTTTCCAAGAGTGGAGGATGCCGGCAAATTCTTATGGAAGACCCATATCAGTGGGGTGAAGTTCATCCGTTCCCCCGCAGCCTTTCACCTCTTGCGACTCGCGCCTCGGAAGCCGAGGTGGCCGCCTTCCCGGATCACAGCGTGTCTCCGTTGACCAAAGCTCGGGGCAAGTGGCTCTGGCTGCGCTTGGCGAGCGTGGGGTGGGGGGGTCTTTCTTTCTTTCATTTCTGTCATTTCTGTCATTTCTTTCATTTCTTTCATTTCTTTCATTTCTGTCATTTCTTTCATTTCTTTCATTCTTTCATTCTTTCATTGTTTCATTCTTTCATTCTTTCATTCTTTCATTCTTGCTTTCTTGCTTTCTCCGAGCAGTGAGTTGGCACAGGTTCATGCTGTTTTGTGCTTGGCCATCTTTTGGCTAGATTTTTGGGGACATGTTGGCTTGCTGGTTCGGTAGGCGGTGAATGAGTTGGAATGACACTCGAAACAAGCCATTCCTGTCCTTTAAGGGAAGCCCCTTCCGGTTCATTCCCAAAACCCGGACTCGGTCATTCCCTACTTCTCACACCAGCAAGTTGAACGCCCCTCCGGCATGCGCAAACAAACAAATAAACAAACAAACAAGCAAAGAAACAAACAAACAAACAAACAAACAAACAAACAAACAAACAAACAAACAAACAAACAAACAAACAAACAAACAAATGACATTTACACACACACACGCACAAAGACACACACGCACACGAGACACACAGACACAGAGAGACAGCAACACGGAGACACAGAGACACTGAGCAAAAGGGGCACAGAGGTACAGAGACACGCAGAGACACGCAGAGAGACGTACAGACGCACAGACACAAACGCAAACAGACACGCAGACACGCATGCACACACACACAGACACGCAGATACACAGACACACACACACAGACACAGAGACACAGAGACACGGAGAAAGAGGCAAAAAGACAAAGAGGCACATAGAGACACAGAGGCAGAGAGAAACAGAGACACAGAGGCACAGAGACACGGAGACGAAGAGACACAGAGACGCAAAGATGCAGAGGCAGTGAGGCACAGAGACACAGAGACACAGAGAGACAGAGACACGGAGACACAGAGACACAGAGACAGAGACACAGAGACACAGAGACACAGAGACACGGAGACACGGAGACACGGAGACAAAGAGACGCAGAGACACAGAGACACAGAGACACAGAGACAGAGACACAGAGACAGAGAGAGACGCAGAGAGACGCAGACAGACACAGTTGATGGAAGGCCGCAAATTCAGGTATAGAAATGCAGTCTCAGGCACTGAACGCGCTACCAAAAACAACGTGAAGGCGGAGAAGTATTTTGTAGACGATGCCACCAGCTATGACCACGTCATCCAGGAGCACGTTCAGGCGTCCACTTAGGGACGCCCTCCTACCTCTGGCAGTAGCTTTGTTGCGTGCACTGTGCTGGTGCTGCACCCTCCCCCCCCGACAGTTCGGGAACTAGACAGTTCACACACACACACATCCACGCACCCGCCCAAAGGGCCTTGCTTGGAGTCCTCTTAGGTTGGATCTGCTCTGTGCGGAGATGGCCGAGCTCCAGTCCCAGATGCGGGACGCCGGAGGTGTGGCTGCAGAAACTCATGCCGGGTTTTTACCCTTCACCCGCCATCTTCAGAATCCCCTATACCGCCATAGGCCCAAGACCCTAAGTATAAGAGCTTGCGACCCAGGCGGTCTCCACAGTCTGTTGTACTTGGGTTGCGTTGCGGGCTAACGTGAAAGGGTGGCGATTGGAACCAGGCTCCCGCTTAAAAAAAGCCCAGAGGCCAAGAGAACAGGAATGGGACATTTGGAGGTGGACCTGCGGCGAGCTCCCGCAGCCGTAAGATGGCATTGCGCCATTTTGCTGTAGGCAAGCGTTTTTGTTCGACTCACCCCGCTTGGCTGCACCAGGCGTTGGGATTTTTTTCCCAGGCAAACTTGGGCTTTCTGTCGTCCGCAGGTGCAGCTCGCGACCATAAGTTTCACAAGGAGCCGAGCCGTGGGAAGAGCGCAGCCGAGCATCCCTGAAAGGTTGTCCCAAATAGGCCCACACCATTTTTTTTGGCCTTAAGGCGACGCATGAGACGCGATGCGTTTGTTGGTTGCAACGATGGCACCCAACTGACGTGGACCCACCAGATGTCTATTAGGAAACGAGGTTTGCCAAATTCTTATGTCAGCGGGGGGGCACCTGACGGACTGTGGCTCGCATGGGTTGAGCAAAGTGGGCCTTGTAACGGAGCAGCCCCAGGAAAACAGGAAAAATACTCAACTGCCGCAGGAGAGATGGTCTTGCCAAGGCACGGGGAAGTGCCCGTGTTTAGAGACAATTTCCAGACTTGCGGCATGCTTATGCTTTTGCTCAGGTGTATGCATGTTGCGCTGAGTGTTGAGGACTAGATGCATTTCAAGACATCTTTTAGTTTCCAGCGGCTGTCGCATCTGAATCTTGTTTGCCCCTTTGAGCCAGTGCCGGATGCGCATATTTTTTTAATTTTTATTTTTTTCCCCCCCGAGGGAGGAAAGAACCAGCGGGCAGGTGACGATCCGGAGGCGCGCCTGGACACTGCCAAACCTAAGGGGAAGCCTATCAAGGGAAAGGACCCTCTTTCGAACAATCATGCGCTGCGCAGGGTTGTGGAAGTCCACCATGTCATCATATAATGACATGATTGTTATGCGTTTTGGAAGTCTACCGTCATCATGCAGTGATACCCTGCGCACTTCCATGATTGTTGGAAAGAGGATTGACATGGGGGAGCTGTTTTGTTGAGTTCTTGCAGTCTGATCGATACGATGGGCCCGGATGTGGATATGGGGCCATAACGCGGACAGCCTGGCGTCTGCTTAGATCTGCGTTGCCCTGCGGAAAGCAAAAGACGAGCGCGTCATTGTTTCAGCCTGCCTTTTCCGTGGCAAACTTCAGGGTTGTTCAACCCACCAAACAGGGTCCCCCCTCGCACAAACATGGCACCTGACGTGGGGCCCCTGCCAGAAAATTATCTCCACGGTACCCTTTTACAAAATACCCTTCGCCTCAACAAAAAACAGAGAAATTCTGAGAGTTGCATATTGACGAGGTCCGGCCCGAGTCTCGTTATTTTCTCTCAGCGCAGGGCCCGGGGCCGCGGTCCGCAGGCGGGCGGAACACCGCTGCGGTTCAAACGGTTTGGGGGAGGAGAAGTGGGGACGGGCCTCAGATTCCCTCCTTCCTCCCCGTGCCCCTGCTATCCGGGGCTCATGTGCTGTTTGTGGCGGGTTTCGGAAGGTCTGACGGGTGATGTTTGGGTCGCATGCCTCACTGCACAATTGGCTTCAGCATGTCAAACCTATCAGTCAGGGAAGAGTGACACCTTTTCCTTTTTCAAAGGGTCGACTTTAGCATGTCAAGCAGCCCTGTTTGTCGTGGTCGGCGTGCCAGTTTTGAGGCACCCGGTTTTTGGGTTTAAGAGAGAAGCCAACAGACATCCATTGGGTCTCACCCAATCCCAAGTCTTTGTCGCCAGGTCTGGGCGGCTCGCCGCTGGTGCATGCGCACGGCTACGCCGTGTGAGCGACACGCCCGCGCCTGCGGAATTGGATGGGAGGCACCCGGGGTCGACACTTGGGATTGGTTTGTTCCTGACAGTTTCATTGATCCCAACAGCCCGACGTCTTTTTTGAGTGGTTTGCCGATTTGTCTGAGCCCAATGGAATGGTGCGAAGTGGCTTTTGTTTGTCAGCCGAGTGTTTTGCCCCATTTCTGGGAACCCCCAGTCGTGCGCCTTGGGGCCCCTGGGCAAGTGCTTGGCAAAGATAGTTGGCAACCCCAAAATGGCTTGCCCTGGTAAATGGAACCCAGGACTAAAACCTGTGGTCCAATTCCGGGTTTAAGCTTGACCCAAGTCTACAGCCGACACCCATTCGGGTGGCCCGTGGCTTAAAAGCAGCCGCATCGACTCCGCCCGGCGCGGGCCAGAGGGGGGGCCCCGGCGCCTCTTGTTGTGTTTCATCGGTTTCCGAGCGCTCAAAACGGTTGGTTCAAGGAGGCAATCTGTTTGCAAGGTAGGGTGGTTCAGAGTTGGAAGTCGGGCCCCCCCCCATGGAGCAAATGCAGTCAGGGCTTAACATGTTGCCCCTTGCCTTTTCACACCAGTCGCTTCGCGCGAAAAGGGTGCGAGGAGTTCAGGGCTTGATAATCTTGAATCGTTGAGTTCCTTGCGTAGCACAGAGGCGGATGGAATATATGGCTGTGGCTCAAAAAACCGGTACCAAAATAGAACCCTGGTAAGTGGAAACATGGATCAAAACCTGCGTAGCCCCTCCTGTTTAATTTTGAGCCACACCCATATATGACTCTGATGCAAGCCGAGCGCCGTGGGATGAGAGAGCTCTCCCAGCGGCCCAGCGTAGGATTGGCAGTGAACTGTTCGCCAGGCAACTTGCAACGCTCCCCTCATCGAATAAATGGACATTTAGAGCGGTACACTAATCACATGCTTTTGCAGTTGAGATATATTCTTGGACTGCTGAAGCCCTGACGGCATTTGCTTCTTAGCAGCAAAAAGCTGCTATGATGAAGAGCTGCTATGATGAGACTTATTCAAGAATCGCTCCCCCCACCCTCCCTAATAATAAATATACCCCCTCTCAACAAGAATCGGCACGGGGGCAACCAATATTTATTTGGGTAATTAGGGGTCGACCGGATTTCCTCTTCGCTAAGGTGGTCGCCCTCGAATCCGGTCTGGAATTTGCGAAAAAAACGCGAAATCACAAAAACGGGAAAACGAGAAGACAGTTTTGCCGGTTTCGCGTTTTCGCGTTTTCGCGTTTTCGCCGTTTTCGCGTTTTCCCCGTTTCGTGTATTCGCGCGCTCTTTCGTGCTTCCACGTTCTTGCGTTTTCTCGCTCTGCTCGTTTCCTTTTTTTTTGGGGTGTTTTCACAGTTTTGACAGTTTCGTGTTTTCGCGGCTTTTGCGTTTTCGTGTTTTCACGGTTTCTGTTTTTTCTTTCTTTTTTTTCCCCTCACGTTTTGTGTTTTTGCGTTTTCATGGCATTTTCGTGTTTTCATGTGTGCATATGTAGATGTGGTACATAGATAGATAGAGAGATCGCTATGTAAATAGAGACAAAGAGAGAAAGAAAAGAAAGAAATAAGGAAACACAAGAAAGAAAGACATAAATAATGAAAGAAACAAAGGAACGAACAAGGAAAGAATAAATAATGAAAGACAGAAAGACAAAGAAAAGAAATACAGAAAACAAGAAGAGAAAGAAAGGAAGGAAGGAAGGAAGGAAGGAAAGAAAGAAAGAAAGAAAGAAAGAAAGAAAGAAAGAAAGAAAGGAAAGAAAGAAAGAAAGAACGAAAAGGCAAAGAAAGATGGAAGGAACAGAGCCAATGAACAGAAAGAAGGAAAGAAAGAATAAGGGAAAGCAAAAGAAGAAAAGAGAGAAGACCCAAACTGTAGTTGTTATGCTTTTGACACGTCCGACCACCGGCTTTGCTGGCTCTATGCCAATAGGGCGCATGTGTTATTCCAGGAAGGCAACGTGTTGCATCATTAGTGCATGCAGCCTTGCCTTTTGAATCACAATCAAGTGACGCGGACCAGAATGTTCAAGAAATACTGTCAAAAACAGAACGAGTCGGAGATGTCAGCCTGTTTAATCCTCGGACCAGAGCGACGTCTACTTTTACCAGCCAAGCCACTCGAACACAAAAAGTGCTGCAAGTTCGCAATTTGTTTTGTAAGGAACTTTGTTGCGGTCGGGTGACACTGACAACTCGAGCTTGGAAACCGCGACGCTGAAAGTGAGCAGAAAAGCGTTTCCTTGACTGACGCAAAGGTGACGATGCTGGCGGTGTTGACTTCCGTTTTACTTGCTGCTAGCGTAGCGCAAAATACCAAATTACACATGATTCTGCCTCCCACAGCTTACCGCATGTTCACGTATCTTGAATCGTCCCACGCGTCGACCATTTTGTGTAAGTGTCGTCTTTTTGTTGGAAGACCTGTGAAAAAGGTTTCATTCCGACTTTGAGTAGCCTGATGAGGCGAATCCAGTTTGGACGCACCACGGGAAAGCAGCAAGCGGTACAGTTCATGTTCTTGCTTCCTTCCATGGATATACATTATGTAGCTGTTGCTGCTTATGTACCAAATTCCTGTTGCCGTTCCAAGCTACTCTTTCAGAACGCCCGTGCTTCAGATTCCGCTTTGGACATCTTGTGTTTGCACCGTGCCGTTTGTTTGGCAAGGTGTCTGCTTTGAAGCTCAACTTCGCGCTAAAAGGCGAGTCACATTCGAACCAACCACGTGAAAGTAGCGGTGACATTGGGCAAGCTGCGTGTTAATGATTCGCATGGATGCATTTGATATACCATTCGTGTGCTATATCCGGCTGCCGGGCCCCGGGTTTTCGGGCAGGGTGCGCTGGAGCGGGTTCACTTAGTAGATCTCTCTCTCTCTATACATGTGTATGCGTGTATTCAGGTTCATGAGACGCCTGAATTTTGGTTCACAAGACCAGGCAGATTGCGCCTAGCGGCGGTGAACCGACTGCCCGCAAGCCTCCCGTACGGTCTCAAGATGTGGAAGCAGATGCAGGCTGTAGCGAACTTAGCAGAGATTTTACTTGGCCGGTCGATCGCACAAATTGTTGCACAGGACTTGGAGCAACAGGCTCAAGCGGTCGTGCGCAGCCGAGAACTTGACGAATTATTCCATTTAATCACTCCACAGTGAACGAATGGGTTGACATACCTGCATTCATGCAAGAGGGCGATGTGGAAGGGCAGTTGCATTGTGCCAGATTTTGCAAGGCACCGGGCGTGCAGACAACGCCTCTTCAACATTGCAGCAAGGACCCAGTGGCATTTAAGGCCCATAGCGATGTAAAACGTGCAATCACAGATGCAACCCAAGATTTACCGCCTGCTGTTAGGTGGGCGGAATGACTGCCAGTATGAGCCACGAAACAGCCATCGTTTCTTTTGGAGCAGTCAAGCCCAACCAGCACTTCGACACTCAGGAACTTAGATTCGTGGAAGGTGCTTGCCAAAAAGAGAAAACTGGGTTTTGCACCTCCTGTTTGACAAGCAGAAACGGACCAACGCGCTGCGGTATTGTTTTGCTCAGTCTTCCACAGAGCCAGCCGGCCATTGTGCAGAATGCACCCGGTTGAAGTCTCCTTGCCGAGCGACCCTTCACTTTTGACCCTTTTAAGAAGGATTTGGGGAGCAGCGCACTGTTGCTTTTGGCTACCATGCAAGGTGTCTGCGCGTGCTCAACATATACCAACCAGATGACCATCCATCCCATCTTGAAACATTGCTTGAGGCAGCTCAGTTGCAAGCTTCTTACAGTGTGTTGCCCAAAGTGTGTGTCCGCGCATTGGTTTGCAATTTGGTCGTGCCGATGTTTCTCTCATGTGACTGGTGAACCTTAAGTGACTGGGAGACTGTTCGCGACGTGTACTGCGTTTGGCGAGCGCCGACCTTAGCACGTAGCCTCAACAAAGCTGCGACATCACGGGCCTGCATAAAATCCCAGAGTCAATTGCAACAGGGGGATCCAACGCCGTAGCCCCAGTTCCCAGCTTCTGTGCGTTGCAAAAAGTGATCGGCCGCGCATCGGCTTGCGATGTGGTCGTGCCGATGTTTCTCTCATGTGACTGGTGAACCTTGAATGACTGGGAGACTGTTCGCGACTATTACTCTGCTTTAGCTGGTTAATTCTGACTGCACTAGCCCTGTCCTTCGGCTTTGCTTGCTCGGCTGCGATGTGCCAAATCAACTTGCCAACCTAGAAGCTCGGCAGAACAAATGTTCAATTTTTTAGCCATAAAAAAGCAAAAACCTTTTCCAGAGCACAAGGAAGCCGGATAGCCAACCATAGGTCCTTAGCAGTGCTCACGAATAGTCAGCGGAAAAACGATTTCTTCACTAACGCTCTGGTGATGCTGGAGGTGTCGATCGCTTTAGTTGACAGAGACTGCTAAAAAAGCAGGTCGATAAAAGAGCATCAACAAGTGCAATTTTGCACTTCGTTCTGTGAAGTCCTTTGGCACAGTGAGTGACCTTCAAAGATCGAGTTCGGAAACCGCGACATCTACTTTTAGTCTTCGGAACAGCAACATGTTCTTTACTAATGCGCTGGTTATGCTGGGGGTGTTGACCAATTTAGTCTACGGACAAGGCGACATTACTTGTGGCATGCGTGCAAGAATCCTTGACTGAAGCCCTGGTGATGCTGGAGGCGTCCAAAGTCTACGGATCAGAATGTTCCAGAAAGACTGTCAAAAGCAGAACTAGTCGATGTCGGCCAGTTTAGTCTGCGGGCAAGCGACGTCTACTTTTAGCAAATCACTCGTGTGTCGACCACTTTAGTCAATAAGAACCGTCAAAAGCAGTGCGAGCCATGTCGAGCTCGAACAGTGCAATTTCGCAGTAAGGAACTTTGTTGCCGTCTCGTGACTTTGACAACAGAGTTTGGAGACCGCGACGCTGAAAGTGAGCAGAAAAGTCATTCCTTGGCTGAAGCAAATGTGATGCCGGAAGTGTTGACCAGTTTAGGCTTTTGTTTTGAGTGATGGCGATGCTGGTGATGTTGACTTCAGTGCTTGCTTGCTGCCAGTACAACGCAAAATCTCAAATTACACACTATTCTGCCTCCCACAGTTTGCCGCATCTGCACGTATTTTGAATTGGTTCACGTGTTGACCATTTTGTGTAAGTGTCTTTTTGTGTTGGGAAGAGCTGTGAAAAGGTTTCATTCCGACTTTGAGTCGCCTGATGAGGTGAATCCAGCTTGGATGCACCACGGGAAAGCAGCAAGCAATACCGTTTTGGACATCTTGCGTTGAGCAAGCTATTATAATAGCGTGTTAACTCGGATGAATTTGATATACCATTCGTTTGCTATGCCTGGCTGTTGCTGGGCAGGGTGCACTGGGACGCATACATACATACATACAGATATACATATTTTTGCGTATATTCTAGTTTTGCCTGAGTTTTGGCTCACAAGATCCACTAGGCAGATGGCGCCTGGCGGCCGTGCAACTGTGCCCGCAAGCCTCCCGTACGGCCTCAAGATCCGGAGGCAGATTTGCGGTGCAGTGAGCCAGCTTGCAGCAGAGATTTTGCTTGTCCGCCTAGCATTGGCACAAACTGTTGCGCAGGACTTGAAGCAACAGGCTCAAGAGGTCGCGTGCAGCCGAGACCTTGACGACTTTTTCATCTAAGCACTTGACAGTGAATGAATGGGTTGACATACAGCAGCCGCATTGCATTGTGCCAGATTTTGCAAAGAACTGGGACGTGCAGGCAACGCCTTTTCAACATTGCTGCAAGGGCCCAGTGACATTTAGGGCCCATAGCGAAGTAAAACGCGCGATCGCAAATGCAACCCGAGATTTCCCGCCTGCTACGTGGGAAGAATGACTATCAGCATGAGCCAGGAAACAGCCATTGTTTCTCTTGGAGTCAAGCCCAACCGGCAATTCCAAGCTTCAGGTACGAACTGGTGTCGCGTCACCCGCTTTGGCAAGGGCAGGAAGCCAACATGAAGCTGACTATGGAAAGAGTGCTTCATGTCGGGCAAACGACGGCGAAGCCCAGAACCCAGCTGTGCAAGGGCAAATGGCCAAAGGGAAAACGGCTATGCAACAGCCTGGAACGGCGCGATTTTGGGGCAAACAAAAGGGACACGTGAAGCTGAGTGAAGCGGCCGCGCAACAGACCAGAAATCTAGCCTGCGTCCTAAGAGCAAACGGTGCACCAGGAATTACCTTTACAATATTTTCCGACTGCTATTGTGCGGCCTCAGTGTTTTTGTGCACAGAGTGGTTTGGTCAGCGCTGTGTTTCTTTTTCTTGTTCTTATCAACATGACCTGGACCTAGACGGTCCTATGAGTGTGTCCTTGCCCTTGTTCCTGAATATGTGCAGTGGAAAGTGGGGATGTGGACGACCGCAAGGAAGCTGCACGAGTGGAGCTGCCTTGTGCTCAAGCGACGTGCGAGCGACTCGAGAGACTCAGCTACCTTGTGTACCCGGCTTCGAATGGTGGCGGACAGTCAGCCAGTCGTGAGACATCTCGCGGTTTGCCCAATGCCGTTCGAAGCTTATCCTTGCTTCTGATGCCGTTCATGGTTTCTCATCCTTCCTTTCAGGGAAGACTGTTCTGGCTTTCACTTGAAGGTGCTTGTCAAAAAAGGGGAAACTTGCTTTTGCACCTCCTGTTTGACAAGCAGAAACGGATCAATGCACTGCGTTTTTTTTTGCCCAACCTTCCACAGAGCCAGCCGGCAATTCTAGTTGTTCAAAACCTAATCCCCCAATGATTAGCAGATTACGGATTGCGCGTTTTGCGGATTAGATTATACAGCCGGCGGATTGTGGATTATGGGTTGCACGGATTTTCCATGCTCCAACATGGGGTTGTGACCGAAAGTTTGAAGTGCGGATTGCGGTTTAAGAAGATTGCCAACCACAACAAGGATTAAGCGGAGTACGGATTGCCTCTTAAGAAAGATTTGGGGAGTAGCACACGATTGCTATTGCACACCATGCCTATTCGCTACCATGCAGGGCGCCCGCGGTGCTGTCAACATGACCACCCATCGCGTCTTGAAACATTGCAGTGGCCCAGCCACCACTGGCTGATACCAACCGGATGACCAACCAGCGTCTCGAAGCATTGCTTGAGGCAGTGGCCCAGCCACCAACACTTCGCTTTGCAAACCTTCGCTGGAAGCAGTGGCCCAGCCATCCAAAGTTGGGTTGCACGAAGCGCCATTGGCTGCCGTGCAAGGTGCCGTTGGTGCTTTCGACAGCTATCAGCCAGAAGACCACCCATCGCGTCTCGCAACCTTCGCTGGAGGCAGTGACCCAGCCACCATGGGCTGATACCAACCAGAAGGTCAAACATCGCGTCGCCAAATCTTCGCTGCAGGCAGTGGCCCAGTATTGAAGCTTGCAAGTGCAGTGGAAAGTAGCAAGTCGACACCTGAGCGCCATTGGCTGCCATGCATTGCGCCTGCGGCGCTCTCAACAGATACCAACATAATGCCAACATATTGCAACCACTCGAGCAGTGGCCCAGCCACCAACATCCTGAGCGCTATTATTGGCTGCCATGCAAGGAGTCTGCGGTGCTCTCAACAGATATGAACCAGATGACCAACCAACGCGTCTCGAAACATTACTTGAGGCAGCGGCCCAGCCACCAACATTTCGCTTTGCAAACCTTCGCTGGAAGCAGTGGCCCAGCCACCCAAATTTGGGTTGCACGAAGCGCCATTGGCTGCCGTGCAAGGTGCCGTTGGTGCTTTCGACAGCTATCAGCCAGAAGACCACCCATCGCGTCTCGCAACCTTCGCTGGAGGCAGTGACCCAGCCACCATGGGCTGATACCAACCAGAAGGTCAAACATCGCGTCGCCAAATCTTCGCTGCAGGCAGTGGCCCAGTATTGAAGCTTGCAAGTGCAGTGGAAAGTAGCAAGTCGACACCTGAGCGCCATTGGCTGCATGGCGCCAACATATTGCAACCACTCGAGCAGTGGCCCAGCCACCAACATCCTGAGCGCTATTATTGGCTGCCATGCAAGGAGTCTGCGGTGCTCTCAACAGATATGAACCAGATGACCAACCAACGCGTCTCGAAACATTACTTGAGGCAGCGGCCCAGCCACCAACATTTCGCTTTGCAAACCTTCGCTGGAAGCAGTGGCCCAGCCACCCAAATTTGGGTTGCACGAAGCGCCATTGGCTGCCGTGCAAGGTGCCGTTGGTGGTTCCGACAAGTACCAACCAGAAGACCACCCATCGCGTCTCGAAACCTTCGCCGGAGGCAAGGACCCAGCCGCCATTGGCTGATACCAACCAGAAGATCAAACAATGCGTCGCCAAGTCTTCGCTGCAGGCAGTGGCCCAGTGTTGAAGCTTGCAAGTGCAGTGGAAAGTAGCAAGTCGACACCTGAGCGCTATTGGCTGCCAAGCAAGACGCCCGCTGTGCTCAACAGATACGACCCAGATGACCATCCATCGCGTCTCGAAACATTGCCTGAGGCAGCTCAGTTGCAAGCTTCTTACAGTGCGTTGCCTAAAGTGATTTTCCGCGCTTCGGTTTGCGATCTGATTTTGCCCATGTTTCTCTCATGTGACTGGTGAACCTTCAACGACTGGGAGACTGTTCGCGACTATTGCCATTGCCCCTAGTCCGCAGAGCGGGCGATGTGTGTGCTTTGGCGAGCGCCGAGCATAGCACGCAGCCTCAACAAAGCTGGGACATCGCGGACCGATGTAGGAACAACGAGGTCACGATTGATTTCGGCATAAGAACCCAGAGGCAAATTGCAACAGGGGGATCCATCACCATTAAATTCTTCACTTGGTTTGGTGCTGACCCCAGGCCCCTTCGTCAATGATTGGTGAGGTTTTTCTGTGCAGAAGTTTTGGGCATGCGTTGAGAAGGGATCCACCAAGAAAGAGAAAGCCTCGTGGCCTCTCTTGCTCGTCCCACGGCAGCCGGCATTCGCAGTCAAGTGCCGCTTGCCTCAGCTGGCTTGTTGCTCTTTGCAGTGACCTGTCACTTAGCCTCTCTACATGGAACCCAACCGTGGACAATATTTCCATGTGCGAGGGAGAACCTGTCTTAAGCCAAAGTGTTGAAAACCATTCTTTGAAGCTATCGGCATTTTCCAGGTTTGGTGTCAGCCGTGAGTCAAGGCGTCAGCCGGTCACACGCTTCGCGCATCAAATTCCCGGGCCTTGTGTGGCAAGGCTTGTGAGCTGTTTTCAAACAACTTGTTGTAGCGATCCAAATCAAAGTTGGGAGGCTGCGTACTCATTGGATGAGCTGCTTCACCAGAAAGGTTCAAATACCGCCCTAGCCTCAGTTGCAAGCTTCTTACAGTGCGTTGCCCAAAGTGATTGTCCGCGCTCTGGTTTGCGATTTGGTCATGCCGATGTTTCTCTCATGTGATTGGTGAACCTTAACTGACTGGGAGACTGTTCGCCATTGCCCCTGATGTGTGAGCAGTTATCGTGTGCTGCTTCTGGCCACGTCTGGAAACCTTCGCTGCAGGCGGTAGCCCAGCCACCAACATTGAAGCTTGCAATTGTAGTGGACAGTAGCAAGTCTGCCACCTACTGGCTGCCATGCATTGCGCCTGCGGCGCTCTCAACAGATACCAACATATACCAACCACTCGAGCAGTGGCAGCATTACTGGCTCGGAAACCTTCGCTGGAGGCAGTGGCCCTGCCGCGCAAATTTGGCTTGCACGAAGCGCCATTGGCTGTATCGTTGGTGCTCTCGACAAATACCAACCAGAAGACCAACCATCGCGTCTCGAAACCTTCGCTGCGGGCAGTGGCAGTGGCCCAGCCACCAACATTGAAGCTTGCAATTGCAGTGGAAAGCAGCAAGTCGACCACCTACTGGCTGCCATGCATTGCGCCTGCGGCGCTCTCAACAGATACCAACATATACCAACCACTCGAGCAGTGGCAGCATTACTGGCTCGGAAACCTTCGCTGGAGGCAGTGGCCCTGCCGCGCAAATTTGGCTTGCACGAAGCGCCATTGGCTGTATCGTTGGTGCTCTCGACAAATACCAACCAGAAGACCAACCATCGCGTCTCGAAACCTTCGCTGCGGGCAGTGGCCTAGCCACAAACATTGAAGCTTGCAAGTGCAGTGGAAAGTGGCAAGTCGACACCTGAGCGCAATTGGCTGCCAAGCAAGACGCCTGCTGTGCTTAACAGATACCGCCCAGATGACCATCCATCGCGTCTCGAAACATTGCCTGAGGCAGCTCAGTTGCAAGCTTCTTACAGTGCGTTGCTAAAGTGATTCTCCGCGCTTTGGCTTGCGATTTGGTTACGCCCATGTTTCTCATGTGACTGGTGAACCTTAAATGACGTGACTGCTGCTGGCGGCCTCCGAGCATAGCACGCAGCCTCAACAAAGCTGGGACACCTTGGACTGAACCACGGGGTCACAATTGACTTCGGCATAAGAACCCAGATTCAAATTGCGACAGGGGGATCCAACACCCTAGCCTCAGTTGCAAGCTTCTTACAGCGCGTTGCCCAAAGTGATTGTCTGCGCTCTGGTTTGCGATTTGGTCATGCTGATGTTTCTCTTATGTGACTAGTGAACCTTTGATGACTGGGAGACTGTTCGCGACTGTTGCCATTGCCCCTAGTGCGCAGAGCGGGGGATGTGGGAGCACTTAAGGTGTAGACCTTCTGGCGAGCGCCGAGCGTAGCACGCAGCCTCAACAAAGCTGCGACATCACGAACCGATGTTAGGAACAACGAGGTCACGATTGATTTTGGCATAAGAGCCCAGGGTCAAATGGCAACAGGGGATCCAACACCCTAGCCTCAGTTGCAAGCTTTTTGCAGTGCGTTGCCCGAAGTGATTGTCCGCGCTCTGGTTTGCGATTTGGTCATGCGGATGTTTCTCTCATGTGAATGACTGAGAGATTGTTCGCGACTCTTCGCACTGACAATAGTGCGAGCATTGGAAGTGCACTGTTTCTGGGCGCCGACCATAGCAATCAGCTGCTAGCTTCTGCCATGCAAGGCATGGCCGCGGGACTCTCAACAAAGCAGCGACATGGACCGATGTTACGAACAGTGAGGTCAAAATTGATTTCGGCATAAGAACCCAGAGTCAAATTGGAGCAAGGGGATCGAACACCCCAGCCTCAGTTGCAAGCTCCTCATGGCGATTTGGTCATGGCGATGTTCCTCTTATGGCTGGCTTTGGTGCTGAGCAATGGTCCCTTGAATCGTGTTGCCGCTTGCTTCCGGAGTGACGGGCATGGCCTGCATCAAAGCCTGGAGCTTGCGAGAAGTGAAATGATGGGCTGGTTGCCTTTCAAAGAACGGCATGGCCTTTCGAGTGACGTCAAAGTTTCCGAGTTTCCCGTCCAGCCCCATACCATGTAGGCTTCAGGTCCGACCAGCACCCTTTGACGTGTTTAGAGCCTCCATGGGTGCTCCCGGCCTTTTGACATTCCTTTCAACCCGAAGGTTGGCGAAAACGCAAATCCCAAGCGTGCCATGGTCAAAACGGACTTTGCTTGGCGTTGGTAGAGGTGGTCCATGCCGACCGGAGCCAGCCGCTCTATTCTTGCAGCTGCCGGCTCCTGCAGTTGTTCCTGCTGTGACCAACAAGTATAATGGATTCGGACTCCGAGACTGGACACAAAAAAGAACTTCAGAGCCTGTGGCTATCCTTCTGAATGTCCCCAGCCCAAAGATGACTTAAGCCTTAGAGGCATGTTGACTGCTGCCAGCCCAGGCTTGAAGATGGCCCAACCTTTGGAAACTTACTGGATTTCGGATGTGGTTTGTCACTTGCTCCACTCCGCGGCATGCGCTTCAATCGTGCCGGATCTGCAAGTTCGGAGTGCCCCTGTAGCACTTGGCGATGCGTCAATGCTGAAGTGAGGCAGAGGCTGACCGGGACTTGTCAGCTTTCGCGCACTCGAATGCTTTAGGTACAAAATCTGCGCATGCCCACTTTTGTCGTTGCAGCGGCCGCATTTCTGTCCTTATTGCCCGGCGCCTTTCTCTGTAGTTTGAATGATTGCAGGCCCTTTCAACATTTGGAGGGGGCCGCCGTTGCACCGTGAAGTTCCTGTGTGGGGACGTCTATGCGGTCTTCTAAAGGTCACAGGGGTGGACATTCCCTGCACCGGGCAGCGTAGCCATTGCTATGCCATGCGCCCAGAATCCACCTATTCAGTCATTGTCACCCCATCCCACTGCCCCAACTTGAAGTGATGAGATTCGAAACACAGAAGGCCCCGAGCCCAGGAGCTTACTCGCAGCACGTTTGAGCCAGGCACTTTTTCGCTACGCAGAGCAGTGTATTCAATTGAAGGATGACCTTGGTTGCGATCAGGTTGTGTAGCGGCGCTGAACATTGTAGCTCCTGCGTTCCCGACCTTGCCAGTTTGCGAAAAGCTGCTTTGGCAATTGTCTCCTGTGAGGTCTGTACAAAAGCTTTACTGCGCCAGCTCACCGGGTTGCAGGGTTGGGAAAGCCGAACACTTTCAGCAGTTGAGCCTGTGACGTGGACGTGCTCATTCTCAGGGCGCGTGTCAGCTGGGAAAAGACATCTGGGTGCCGTGGAGGCACTGCTAGGCTCACAATCTGGCTGCGCGCTAGCGCAAAGGCGATGGCATTCCGCTAAGGCTTCTAAGGCGAGCAGCCACACTCGACTCCGGGTCTTCGATCTGGTTGGCGGTCCAGAACGCCGTTGCAGATGCTATGAAAGGCTGCAGATCTGCAATGCACACGAGCATCGGTGAGGCTGGTGTTGAGCTCGTCCTTATCCATGGGCCCCCGGCGCAGATGCCTTTCCAGGCACTCCAGCCTTGCCTGCCCAGCCAACGCGTCAGTTGATTCAACTGATTTCGCTGGCTTCTGAGTTTCGCCGGTACCAGCCGTCCGTCTCCGTTGGGGCGCACCTGCTTGTTTGGTTTTGAGGTGCAAGCTCATGTTAGCCTGAGCCATGTGGTTGTTCCTTGCCACAGACGCGCATTTCAGAGCTCTCAAAAGCACAGCGCTGTCGCCCAGAACGGGCGTTCGCGACTTGGTGCAACTTGTAGGAGCCTGGTTGCAGCTCGAGTGTCAGTCCTTGCAGATGGGGCCATCATAGCTTGCAGGTTGTCAGTAGGCAGGTGCCACTGGACTTGAGCCAGCCATGCAATGTGTTGGCTTCTGTGGCCTTGCAGAGAGGTTTCCCTTGCCGGGAGCCATGCCGGGTCCCAAGTACCAGCCTTCCGTCTCTGTTGGCGCTTGCTTGCTTGTTTGGTTTGCAGGTTCAAGCTCATGTTAGCGCGAGCCATGCGGTTGTTCCTTGCCACAGACATGCGCATTTCAGCGCTCTCAAAAACACAGCGCTGTCCGACTTGGTGCAACTTGTAGGAGCCTGGTTGCAGCTCGAGTGTCAGTCCTTGCAGATGGGGCCATCATAGCTTGCAGGTTGTCAGAAGGCAGGTGCCACTGGACTTGAGCCAGCCTTGCAATGTGTTGGCTTCTGTGGCCTTGCAGAGAGGTTTCCCTTGTCGGGAGCCATGCCGCCGGGTCCCAAGTACCAGACTTCCGTCTCCGTTGGCAGGCTTTGGCTGGGTGCGGGAGCACCCTGGTCTTAGGGTCGGGAGAACCGCGCAGCCAAACACAGCATACGGTCTGGTCCCTTAATATAGGATAATGTAAGCAAGTGAGAAGCAAGCGCGCCGTGCTGGCGCAACTCGCCAAATCTACAACGCATGCCTCCTGGGATATGCCGCACGGCGTCGCATTTCATGCTATACTTGAGCCATGCTGCATGGCTCGAGGGAGTCGTTGCAGTCGCCATATCAGCTATCGTTCCAGCAACACTGAGTCGTTTCCGATTCAACAAATGGCTGTTGGAAGTCAAGAGTTGGCCACTGACACTGTGCTTGCAACTGTGGCGCCGGCGATGCAGCGATGCATTGTCTCCCGATCTATCCAGCGGACCACGAGTCCAAGTGCTTGCCACTACTTTCCTGGCCCTAGGTTCGGGAGAGGCGCGCAGCAAAATATGGCGCGCATACGGTCCAGCCCTGCCGGCACCAGAGTCGCTGCAAGATGCTCTAGAACAAGGAAGGCAACACACCCACCCACCCACCCACTCCAGCACCTGGAAAGCGAGAAGCAACCGCGTGCTGGCGCAACTTTGCCTCTGGCTTTCCTGTGCGGTCACGTTTTGCAGGGAGGCCCCACGTGTTTGGCCAAGGTTCATAACTGGCAGGAGATGTTCGAAGTCTCGCTGCAAGAGCAGCGACGTTGTGCAGAGGGGCGCCATAGGTTCGCTTAGTTTGCGCACGTCATTGCTTGCGCACACGCGCACGCACGCTGCTCTTTGTAGGGGTTGACGCCCCATTCTTTTCAAAAAGGGCCAGCCATCTGCGGAAGTTGGCCGCGCTTCTTGCTGGTAGCCTCGTGAATCAGAGTCGCTCCACCACCACTGAGTCGTTGCGGACTGAACACATGGCTGTTGGAAGTAGAGAGTTGGCCACTGACACTGCGCTTGCAACTCTGGCGCCGGCGATGCGGTGCATCATCTCTGGATCTATGCGGACCGCGAGTCCGAGTGCTTGTCTCGACTTTCCTTGGTGCTTGAACACTTGAGCGCACGAGCGTTGCAGTAGCTGAGCACCACTTTCAAGAGTCCGCGATGCGGAGCTTTCGGCTATGAGTGGCAACTTTGCAGATGATGCGCCTTCTTGAGTTGCTTAGGCACGTGGATTTTCGGCGCACGACAAACGCCAGCAGCTGTTGGAGCTTAAGCTGGCGGAAGAATTGTCCCGATGCTTCACATGGCAAGCTGCCTGGCAATCCTTAATCCTCTGGGGGCTCTTGGCTGCAGAACTTGGTTGGAGCTTCGCAAAGAAGCCAAAGTCCAAGTGATTGGCTTGCCGGCGCCAGCCAGTTCGCCAATAGGCCACAGGGCTTCAGCTTTGAACCACGGAGATGCCAGGCCAAGATTTCAACACAGAACTCAGCCCGGCTCACTGGACGCTGCCTGACTTTCGGTCGCTTCCGAGTCACCGCGAATATTGCGCACTGTTCAGTGTGGGCGGTCCAGATCCTGCCTAGGCCTTGGGTTCCCCAGATTCAGAAGAAACTCAAATTCAGAAGAAACAATGGCAATCTAGTCGCTGCTTGAGTGTGGAAGCTTCTGTGCCCATGCGCATGCTGGCCAGGATTTGTTTCTTCCATATTGGGCCCCCAGTTTGTGCAGGTAGGTCTGGTAGGTTTGATGAGTTGAGTGTTTCTGGAGGCATAGACTTCAGCATCCTGGCAGGCAGCTTTCCTCGGACAGGTCACTGGGACATTGCGCCGTTTTGAGAACAATGCTGCGGCGCAAGTCCCGTCGGAAATGCGTGCGCAAACGTCGCACCTCATGCTTCATGCTTCGGCACGTGCTGGTGGAATGCGTTTTGGTTTTGGAATGGCAGAGGCATTGCCAGGTGCCTTGCAAGCCTCGTGCGAGTGCGCCGCACCCATAGCATGTTGAAGACATTCCAGACGCTGGTGGAGCTCCATGAGTCTCCCAAGCGCGTTGCAGCGTATATTGCGTGCTAACAGCATCCCAGACGTGTTGCCAGCAATAAAGAGCCACCCAGCATCCTGGCTTAGGCCTGGCACGCTGGATGCTAGGCTATTGCCGTCCTCAAGCTAGCGCGAGCAGAAAGTCAAGATGCTGAGCTGCCAGGACTCACGAGCTTGGCTGCCGCATGTGTTTTGAGGCATCCCATCCCCGAAGGGTCCTCGTTTGTGCGGGGCGAGAACCTTGAACATGCGGCGCGAGTGTGGCGCGCAAACTAAAGCCAAAAGGCGGCCCCTATGTGTAAAAAACCCTTGTGAGATACCAGACGCCCATGGGTACCCCCTTTGGGAAAAGTCCGGGTTGGAGAAGCCAACAAGTCCTGGACTGGGTGTTGGTGCAGGGCACAGGGCGCAGGGCCTGAACATTTTTCGCCTGATGAGTCGTCCTTCAGAGCCAGACGTAAGCTCTGGCATCTGGGCCACTCAGAAACTTGCGCTTGACCCGAGTAAGCGCTGAAACGGCGGAGCCGGCTGCTCTATTCTTGCAGCTGCTGGCTCCGGCAGTTGCTCCTAAGTTGCTGTGACCAACAACTACAATTGATACGGGCTCCGAGTTCATATCCTCCCCCTTCGGAGGGGTCCTGGTTAACGAAGCCAAGCGTTTCCGACCGAGCGTTAGTAAATTACAGAATCGTTTATTTGTTTATGTTGTTTAATGTATATATATAATATTTATACATCTCGCATATATATATATAATATATATATATATATATTACTTTTTGTTGTTATTACTATGTGTACTACTTGTTGTTATTGTACATTTCGACTTTCGATTCCAAGCTTGAAATCGCTACGCGATCCGCCTACGCCATCTGTGGACTGGGATACTAATTTGGTATCCCCTTTTGGTTCCGAGACAGAGCTTCGTTGCAGGTGGCAGGTAAGCACATTCTGACACGTGAAAAGGAAGTATCCCCTTTTTGTTTCCAAGCCAAAGCCTGTGATTTCAGGGAAGCGCGGGAGGTTGCGCACGGCTGCAAGCATTTACTATTATATCATTTTGTTCCCAAGGCGCAGCTTGATTTCAGGCAAGCAAGGGAGGTTGTGGGCCATTTTCTGATGCGTGAAAAGGGGATGCTAATTTGGCATCCCCTTGTGGCTTGAAGACAGAGCTTCATTTCAGGGCAGCGTGGGAGTTTGTGGACGCCTGCAGGCATATCCTGATACGTGAACAGGAGATGCTAATTTGGTACTCCTTTTTAGTTTCCGAGAAAGACCCTCATTTCAGGGAAACCAGGGGACCCTGTTTAGACTGTATGAAGCACGTACTCTAAACATGTAGGCTTCCTCTTGGTATGCCACATTGCAAAAGGATGGCGAACTCTGGGCCGAGGTCTGAGATAGTTCAATGTCTTTCCTTGAAGCCTGCCACTTTTGGGTGACGAACAATCTCTGATAGAGCGGGGTCTCGACAAGGGGCGATAAGAGCGTCGTTTCATCCTTGTAACTGCTACATGGATCTGTGTGCCTTCTTTTCCTGTTGGAGGTTGGTTGTGACACCGCGTGACGTCGTTTGCTGTGTAGGCGGCCTGCAGTGAAAGAAAAGCACAGGATGCCTTTTGGGGAGGACGGTGTTCCGAAATCCCTACTTCCGTGATTGATGGAAAGCAGGCATACATTTAAAGCTAGTCCCGCTGTCTTGCACCCCTGACAAGTAAAAGACAGCGGTGCTTTTGTTGATGGGGTCGGGGCCCCATTATCTTGAGTATGGCTGGTTTCCTGTTGGTTTCCCTAAGGTCCTTTTCCAATTTTAGGATGTCCCAGCGCATTGCATCACAACACTTGCCCCCGCCAAGACCCCAAACAAGCCAAATCCCACATCGCTCAACACAGCAATACACCATTGGTATATTTAAAGAGTAAAGACACTACTAAAAGTCAGGCCGCCAAGACAGCCCTAACAATGCCGGGAATGCAGGTTCTCCCAGAGACCGAGACAAAACGCGTGTTTCACTGGACAATTACAGGGTTTTGGCATCTACACGCTCGACTGGCGTCGGCGGATGTATACACATTATTACCAGCAGACTCCGTCAGAGCCGGGGGGGGGGGGGGTTCAGCAATATCAGAACTACAGATTGAAGCACGCTTCTTTTCCCCTTCTCTCTCTCTTTGTCTACCTCTTCTCTTCTTTGTTCTTTCTTCTTTCTTCTTTCTTCTTTCTTCTTTCTTCTTTCTTCTTTCTTCTTTCTTCTTTCTTCTTTCTTCTTTCTTCTTTCTTCTTTCTTCTTTCTTCTTTCTTCTTTCTTCTTTCTTCTTTCTTCTTTCTTCTTTCTTCTTTCTTCTTTCTTCTTCTTCTTTCTTCTTTCTTCTTTCTTCTTTCTTCTTCTTTCTTCTTTCTTCTTTCTTCTTTCTTCTTCTTTCTTCTTTCT